TTTCAAAATTTTTGACACCTTTTCTATGATATCTTTTTACCTGGAAATATTTTGTTAAAACATATAGAACAAAAGAAGTGTAGAATCCCAAGATCTTTCAAATGATATCTCGAAAAAAGGGCTGGCCCCTAAAATTAAGGGGCTAGAGGGGTCGAACGTTTTTCTTTTATATCTCAAAAAGCATTGAGAATTTGTAATACATCAAAGAAGCAAAGTTGTTTATAATGTCAAGCTCAATTTACTGAGGGAGTCAAAATATGTCCGGCGTCGTCACTTCCGGCCAAACCGGAAGTGGTCGGAAAACGCGTTTTTTGCCGTTCTCGACAACTTTTTGGGTCACATATGTCTCTGGGAGCATAAAAAGTATTTTTTCCGTCCGTCGTCGTCACTTCCGGTCAATCCGGAAGTAGCAAAAATGGCTAATTTTTAAGGTTTTGATGCAAAATTGAAATTATAAAGTCACTGGAGACTTCTTATCTCATTGCTTTCTTTTGTTCTGTCACTTCCGGCACTTCCGGTCAAAACCGGACGGAAGACCTACTCGTTGCTTTGCAACGAGCTCGGCTCTAGTTTATTATTATTATTATTCCACTTTTCATAGTACAGGTCATATCTCAGCTGTGCGTCGACGAATTTGAAAGATTTTTTCAGGGATGATGCATCTTGTGAATATCTCCAGGGGTGTCCCTCACTTTTTTGAATTTTTTCTCCGTTCGCGATTTTTGGAGAAATTTGTATTTTTTAAATGGAATTTTGTCGCAAAAAATTCTCGGGAACGGCAAAAGATATGAAACTGATACTTACTGAGATGATAGAACATCGATTGTAGATGTGTGTTGATCGACCTTCATTTTCGTCGTTTTTACTTCCGGTCGCAAAGGAAGTGAATTCAAAAAGTCTAATTTTTCAACTTTTTTGTTTTTCAATATTTTTCTTTTGAATTTACAGGGTTCATAGAGCTTTTTCAAAGATATCTATATATGTTTTCATTTTCTTCATGCGTGCGTTTATTGCAAAGAAATGACCGAACCAAAATTTGTCTTACTGTCGGGGGTTCGAATCCCGCTCGGGGCGTTCCCCAAATTTTTTCTTTCTTTTTGTCTTTTTTCAGATGCAAATTACTTTTCACTCTTTTATAACATGTTTGGAAGATTTTGCCGATTTTTGAAAGCTATATTTGGAGATATTTTGTGAAATACCTTGAACAATCACAATCTGTGTTGAGAACCTACTGTAAATGAACGTAAACAAAAAAATACTTTATGAAGTCTATTTCATGGGATGACACAACAAAGATTGCAAAAGAGAAGTCGGTCGGAAGACCTGCTTGTTGCCCCAGCAACAAGAACGCATCTAGTTATTAAGGTCTTCCGTCTTCACGGAAGACCTTATAGTGATTGTATTGTTTCTTATCATTATTATTCTTTTTTTGACAAAATTTTGTGGACGGGATTTCTCGAAAACTTTCACAAAAAGTGCGTCATTATATGAAGTTGTGCAGTCTATAATTTTTTTGGGAAATGTCGCTTCCGGTGCCAAGTTATGGACAATTTTCTGATTTTAAAATGCGATTTTGTCGCGCACTTTTATCGAAAATGGCTAAAGATATGAACTGGAGACTTATTGGAGACGATAGTTCATGAATTTCTTGTTTGCAGAATCACCTTTTCATGCGTCGTCAATACTTCTGGTCGTTATTAGATGCAAATTTAAAAACTCGTATTTTTCTAACTTTTTTGTTTTTAAATATTTTTCATTTATTTTTGGTATGATAATAGAAATCTTTCTTATAATGTTCACTATATAATTTGTTTGAATTTTGATAAATCTAAACTTTAGATATTAGCATTTAAAAAGCTGAAGCGAGTCCAAGATGGCGGCTGTCCCTGTCAATTCCGACATTTCGCAATAGGGGTTTTCGGAGTCAGCCGAGCGTTTGCTTGAACGAAAGTAACACAAGCAAAATGAAATGTAAAGGAATACTTGGATTGTCACGTCGTAGTTACGTTGCAATTCTGTGTCAAACTATCATCTATAATTACATTTAACTGGTTCTCAACGTAGAAAAAGAAAGAGTAAATGTGCAAATGAAATTCAATACCTAATACCTTCTGATTTGCAACACGTGAAAACAGATCTGAAATCATAGTTATAGGTAATAGTTTTTCTAGAAACAATGTCAATGAATATAGTAGGTATAGAAATTACAAACTGTGTCATTTTAAAATAATAGAAAAGACAAAATAAGATAACAGTTTTTTAAAAGATCGATAAATGGAGTTTATATTAACATTCTTGTCTCAAAGATCTGATTCAAGTTAATGAGCATAAATGGTATCCGATTCCTTGATTGTCTTCGGGCAACACATGTTTTCGGCAAAACATTTCAACCTTTTCATAAAAGCTTAACTAATCTGGATAGTTCATTTTGGGTATAAACAGGAAATTTCAAAAAAGTTTAATTCAATAACTGTTTCATTGCTTTAGTGTTACTTGCTTATATACAATATGAAATTTGTAAAATGTGTTAAATATACTTTCTTCACCTTGATATTTTAGCTATAAGAACGTTCTTTTTTCTTTCCATTGAAGCTATCACACCTATTTAATGGAACATTCTCAACAAAAGGCGTGACGATTTACTCCAGGCGTTTGATGCAAAATTATGAATAGTGATTCGCCTTTCATAATTCTAAGACAGATGTACTGTTGCAGAAATATAATTATACAAATACATTTAGAGCTGTGGTCCCAATAGCGTCATAGTAAGCGCATTGGATTTTCACACTGGCAATTTGGGTTTAATCCCCTTTGTTTCCATAAAAAGTTTGATCACTTTATTCAGCTCGAGTTTGTGGGGTTTTTTTTCAGAATCAGACGGAAGACCTCTCGTTGCTCGCAACGAGTTTCTTTTCTAGTTAAGGTCTTCCGTCTTCAGCGGAAGACCTTATTGTTTTTCTTCGGTTTCTTTTTCACTTTTATTATTATTTTTTTTTTCTTACCGATTTTGTGCACGCGATTTCTCGAAAACGGCCAAACAAAATCTTATGAAACTTTCAGGACTTATGGAACATTACTTGAACCTTATGCGTTTTTTTCCGTTTTGATGACGTCACTTCCGGTCTAGAGATATCGTCGATTTTCTGATTTTTAAGGGTCATTTTGTCCACAGTTTTCCCGAAAAACGGCTCTAGATAGAAACTTCAAACTTTGAGGTTAGGTAGAGCTAAGTTTGGAAAGGTGCATAAGGTATATCAAATTTACCGGAAATGACGCACGTCGGGGCTCGCTATGGCCCGAAAATAGTCGTATCTTGAATTTCAAATTTTTTACACCTTTTCATCGATATTTTTTTACCTAAAAATATTTTGTTAAGACATATTGAACAAAAGAAGTTTAGAATTCCAAGACCTTTCAAATGATATCTCGACAAAAGGGCTAGCCCCTAAATTCAGGGGCCTGAAGGGGCCAAAAGTTTTTTCTTTATATCTCAAAATCTATAAAGAATTTTTAATACATCAAAGAAGCAAAGTTGTTCAAAATGTCAAGCTCAATGTATTGGCGTCGTCAAACTTCGTTCGGCGATATCTCTTCCGGCCAAACCGGAAGTAGTCGGAAAACGCGAATTTTAGCCGTTCTTGACATGTTTTTAGGTAACAGATGTTTCTGGGCAAATAAAAATTTATTTTCCGTCCGTCGTCGTCATTTCCGGTCACACCGGAAGTAGCAAAAATGACTTATTTTTGCAATGATTAACATAGCTTTAGAGGATTCGAGCTATTTCTGGGCATTATTTCTCACTTTTGTTAAAGATAAAATCTACTTCCGGTCAAACAGGACGGAAGACCTACTCGTTGCTTTGCAACGAGCTCGGCTCTAGTTATTATTATTTTTCTTCTTCCTGGGAAAATTTTGTCCACGAGTGATCTTGTAAACTACACATGGGACTAAGGTAAAATGTTTTTAGGGTCAGTAGACATGTTATGTAGATTTGCCGAACAAAGGTCATTTTGCGCGCACGTGCTTGCAAGAGCACGCACGTGCAACACGTTAAATGACCGATTTAATTGATTTTGGCGTAACATTTTACATTTTTGATGAAATGCTTTCAAACTCATAACATAAGGATATATTAGTGGCATAGACAATATGACATGGTCAAAATAGCAAGATCTCACGCGCATGCATGTGCGCTCTGATTGACTGAAACTAAAGTGTCTATATCTTTCTTGTTTTTCGACGAAATCCTATGAAATTTTGAACATAGACATGCATTAAGATTTTCTACAACATGATATATTGCAATTATCATAAAAACACGTGCATGCACGTGCGCTGCAATCTGATTGGCTTAAACTTTAAATAGCTATAACTCCCTTGGTTTTCAACCAAACAGGATAAGATTTGGAACATAGATAGATATAATGAACTTCTACAAGAAGGTATGGTCACCATGCACATGCATACACGTGCATCTACGTGTGCTGTAATCTGATTGTCTGAAACTTAAAACAGCTATAACTCCCTTGGTTTTCAACCAATCGGGGTGGGATTTAGAACATAGATAGATGTAATGGACTTCTACAAGAAGATATGGTCACCATGCTCATGTATGCAAGTGCGTGCGCGTGAAATGAGTTAAATCAAAAATACACTTAAATGAGCGTATTTCTTAATACTTTTGGATTAAATACTTTGACATTTAGTAGATAAAAAATATATAGACTGTGTAGACAAGATTATAATGATGGTCATTACGCACATGCATTCACATGCGCACATGTTTAATGCTAAAATCTGAATGAACTTGGCGCTGTCAAAGTTTCAAATGCACAGATTTTGTCCTATTTTATGAAGCTTACAGGGAATATGGCACCAAAAGGGAGTTGGGGAGCGTTTGGGGAACATCTGTAACGGTCCCCGTTACAATTAGCACTAGTTCTATCTGCTTTGTTGTTTTTATTTTCCATAGTAATTTTTTTTTTTATATTTTCAGGTTAGAAAGAACATAAAAGGTGAAGAAAAATATGACAGTCCTGTAATGAAGAAAACATGCCATGCATCTTCTGAAGTAGATCCCTGCCTACCAGATGCCCTTCTTGCTCAACATATAGGAGAACTGTTAGCCTATCTTGACAAGTCAGTCACACATATGGATCTTTGTGGAAGTGTTGGTAGAGATATTCTTGGATTTACGGTTGAAAAAACAAAAGTATGTTAATTTGAATAATACTCTATATTAAGATAATATTTTTTACAACCTAATTTTGTCTATAATTTTAAAATAGTTAAAACCAGGAAAAACAAAAGAAGGTGACAAATTTTCAGATCCACTAAGATGATCTTAGTGGATCATTGGAAGATAGAATTCCCATTTTCAGAAGTTTGACCTTTCAGCATATGTAATATTTGCAGTAAAATACATTTAAACTCCTTGAGTACAAACACAGATATATAGCAAATTTACAGATATAGCAAATCTGAATATGGCCAGGACATATAGTGTTTATTATGTCTAGCTTCCATCCATCTTCCCTACCATCCTTCTTTTGTCCTATCTCACTTTTTGTTTGGCTAAATTTCAATGAAGCTATTCAAGATATTTTTATCAAGCTTTATATGCTGATATATATTGATAAGGGCTTTTCAACTGCTTCAACATTTTTAGCTCACCTCAACGAAGTTGGGGGAGCTTATGTAATACCCTCGGCGTCGGCGTCGGTGTCGGCGTCGGCCTCCATGTCGCAAGGATGCATACTACCGGGCTTGCTTCGGATGCTGAATCTGACCTACAATTTCCGGTTGAGTGAACAGGTTAAAGTTTTTGGTGCAGGTTTCATTTGCAAGTAACTTTAAGCCCTATGTTGACCAAACTTGCATGGATGATACATCTAAGGATGCATACTACCAGGCTTGCTTCGGATGCTGAATCTGACCTACATTTTCCGGTTGAGTGAACAGGTTAAAGTTTTTGGTGCAGGTTTCATTTGCAAGTAACTTTAAGCCCTATGTTGACCAAACTTGCATGCATGATACATCTAAGGATGAATATTACCGGGCTTGCTTCGGATGCTGCATCTGACCTACATTTTCCAGTTGAATGAACTGGTTAAAGTTTTTGGTGCAGGTTTCATTTGCAAGTAACTTTAAGCCCTATGTTGACCAAACTTGCATGGATGATACATCTAAGGATGCACACTACTGGGCTTGCTTCGGATGCTGAATCTGACCTACATTTTCTGGTTGAGTGAACAGGTTAAAGTTTTTCATGCAGCTTTCATTTCCAAGTAACTATGAGTTCTTTAATGACCAATCTTGCATGGATGATACATCTAAGGATGCATACTACCAGGCTTGCTTCAGATGCTGAATCTGACCTACTTTTTGTGGATGATTGAAAATGTTAGTTTTTAATACATGTTTCATTTCCAATTAACTATGAGCCCTATAATGAGCAAACTTGCATGGACGATACATCTTAGGATGCACACTAATGGACTTGCTTCGGATGCTGAATTTGACATACATTTTTCAGATAATAGACCAGGTAAAAGTTATAGTTGCAGGTCTATTACCAAAAACCTATAAGGCTCATATAATATAGTATAAACCAAACTTGCACAAATGTTGCATCAAGAGATGAAAACTCTCAAATTTGCTTCAGATGCTGGATTTTGATTACATTTTCATTAAGAAGAACTAGTTTAAATTTTTTATGTATGTCTATTTCAAAGAATCAGATCAAAATTGCTTAAATATTTTCATTTTTGGAATGTACACTTTTTTGTTGGTTAATTGTGTGACTTTGCCTTACTTAAAGACAACATTCGTTGAGGTGAGCTCTGTAATCTCTGATTACCTATGTTTGATCTTGACATCACTTTTCTTAAATAAGTAAATATCTCAATTTAGAATGAATCATAAAATATTTTTTATCAAACCTTTAATATGATGTCATTTGACTTATTATTATATGATTAAATAAGCTGGAGTTAATGGTACATACAAATATGCACCATGCTTGGCTGCAAGTTAAATTATGAAAAATAGGGCATCATAAATCCAGAGTGGCAAGTTGTTTAGATCTGGTGATTTTGTGTAAAATTGTTCTTTATTAACACATTAAAAGCTACCAAAGCAAGCTTGAAAATTTTATCGAGGTATGCTCCATAAAAATTGTGTCGAAAATATGTAATATTTTATTAGGTCACTCAGGTGACCTATTGCTTTTTGTTTTTGTCCTTCGTCGTGCCAAAATGGATTATCAATGTTTACATAGAATTATATAGAAAAGATTTTTAAAAATCTTCTTCTCAAGAACAGCAAAGCCATGATGAGTCATATTTGTATGGAAGCATCTTCAGTAGTATCATCACCCCTGGGGTAGGGTAGGGCCACAGTGGATGATCAAAGTTTTATATAGGAATTCATTGGAAAAATCTTCTTCTCCAGAACACTGGGCTAAGAAAGATGAAATGTTGAAACATCTTCAGGTAGTGTAGATTCAAGTGTGTTAAAATCATCCCCAGGGGTAGGGTGGGCCATAATGGACAATGAAAGATTTACCGCCTCTTGTTAATTACACCTCTCATAATTATCACTTTCATTGAAAAAAATAATTTAAATTTTCTTTGCAGGTGACTGTTACACATCTACAGTTAACTGAACTCAGCTGGGAAAAAATTCAAAATACCACCAGAGAGGGATCACTTAAGCATATGGAGAAACCGGTTCTTCACTACAGTCGACGATATGATTTTTTGAAAAAATCGGATCGACAAGAATTGTTTAAGGTTATTCTCCATATAAAATTAATGCAATCTGTTCATGAAAAAGTAGCAGGGCAGAGAAAAACTAAGGGGACAACTAACATCCTGTCTGAAATAAAATTTTGACAAATCACCATCATTAATGCTGTATTGAAATAGACAAGATGTATTTTAGCTCATCTGAACCAAATATTCAAAGACCTATTCTATGGCCATTTGTGCAGTGTGCATTAAACTTTTAGGAATACTGGCCATATCTCAAAAACCACTTCGTCAATATTTGTCAAATTCACAAAGTGTCCTTGGTCCAAGGTCTTTAATTTGTACCTAATAAGGCTGTGACCATCACACGGGGAAGATAATTATGGCAAAAATAGGGGGTTTCTAATACATTGTATCAGGAACCACTTGGCAGATTATCATCAAACTTGAAATTAAGAATGAAGATATGTTTTACATTAAAATTGTTTAATGCATCACCCTGGGGAAAAGGGTATGGTCTTCAAGGTCACTTCAAGCTTGACCTGAATTATGTTTTGTTAAAACTTTCATATTTTGCCGACTATAAAGACTATAAACATCAAATATTATCTGTTGATGCATTTTGGAACCACATGTTGACTTAGAGTGTCATAGTGATCTATTTTTAGCTAACTTGAGCTGAAAGCTTAATTGAGTTCTTTTGTTAAAAATATGTCCACTGTCTATTGTCTTTGGCATCAGCTTTGCCATAAACTTTTCACATTTTCATCTTCTTTTTCTTGAACAAGTGCACTTAAGCAATGCTTAGTGAACCCTTTTTATGTGCCGTTTTACTTTAGAATATATTACCAAATTGTTTTCTTTTGGTAATTATTAGATACTAGTGGATATTTCTAATTAAAAACACATTAAGCATCACCTAAACCAGCATGGATTTGAAACAATTCAATTGAATATTTTTAAATGCCCATGGAAACCCTCAAGCCAGGAATGTCGTACCGAACCTTCTTTGACTTTTGTTTATGTAAATCAAGGGGAATAGATATTTAAATCAACACTTGAACAATCTGATGTTGGATCATAGTCAGGAGCGTTTGCAGAATGAATGTTACTTTTTGCGTTTAATCTGTTTCAAAAATTGAATAAAGTTGTATGAAACTGTAGCCATAATTGTAAAGCTAAGAAAATGGTACTCATGCATTGAAAAGAACACAATAATAGTTTCATTGAATTTAAATTAAAAACGAGTGTTTAGGTGGCAATAAATATCTGTTTCATAGTCTTCCATGAATGTTAAAAATGTTTAAGACTTTTATGTATGGCACTAAACTCTCCTTACTCCTCTGTATTCTTAAAAACATATACATACAAATATTTCTAAGCGGGACGACTTTGACTAAATGATACAAAACCTGCCGATGTTTTACAGTGAGCACCTTTGAGGAATGATTACCTGGGTAGAACTCACGTGACTATCAGTATTTTGAATAATTTATTCCACATGGGTCATACAGGTAAATAGCTCTCACTTGCTACATGTATAGCTATGGCACGCCAAATTCACAAAAATGAGATAAACATGGTTTCACAGTCGATAAACTAGGTTTATCGGTTGTAAACTATAGTTTACGGACTGTAAACTATAGTTAACAATGTTAATCTATATTTTACATCCGTAAACCATAGTTAACGCGATAATCTATGTTTCACAACCGTAAACTATACTTAACACTGAAAACAATCATTTGCGATTGCAAAACATAGATTATCTGATAAATACAGTTTCACGATTTGTAAACTATAGTTTAAAAACCGTTAACTATAGTTAACGATCTGATAAATATAGTTTCACGATTTGTGAAACTATGATTAACAACTCTTAACTATAGTTTACGATTGTTAACTATAGTTTACAATGAATCTATGTTTATTAAAAAAAAAATAAATCTATAGTTAACGCTTTATTACAGACAGATAAACTTAGTTTAGCATTGGTAAACTATATTTAACAACCGTTAATTATAGTTTACAGAAGAAAACTATACTTAACGAATCGTTAACTATAGTTTACGGTTTGTAAACTATAGTTTACAGTCGATAAACCTAGTTTATCAAATGTGAAACTAGGTTTATCTCATTTTTGTGAATTTAGCATGCCATATATAGCAAAACATTGTACGTTTTGTACATTTTTAATATTTTAAGTACCAGCCTAATCGTGTGCAAATTTCATACTTTTATAAATGTATTATGCTTCTGTTGTCATTTGCACAAGTTTGTACAAAGTTAGGCTCATAGTAAACAACAGCTTTGAAATGAATGACTGTTCTCCATTTACTACAGAAAACAAAAAATGTCGACTGACCCCTGCTATATTCTATGGTTTTGTTCTTTGTATATTCGTGGATTTCAGTGATAAAATTTTTTTGATTGATTGATGGTATACTGTTTCACGTCCCTCTCCAGAATATTTCACTGATATGGAGACATCCCCATTGCCGGTGAAGGGCTGCAAATTTAGGCCTATGCTAGGCATTTACGACCTTTGAGCAGGGAGGGATCTTTATAGTGCCACACATGCTGTGACACGGGGCCTCGATTTATATAGTCTCATCCGAAGGACCGTAAATTTGTTGAGTCATATAGTTTAGATACCAAATAATGATTTGGGATGAAAAAGTTTGCTTAATTTGTTTATTTTTTCACATTTTACCGGGGCCCATACGTGCACTCGTTCTTTCAATCAAACTTTGGTGAAGAAAAGTCAAGTTTGTTCAAATGAAGATAGTTTAAGGTGAACTACTTATGGAATTTCCTGGTTATAAACTGATTGTCTTACAGTCATCAAACTTTGTTAGATGATGCGTCTTGGGAACTTGGGGTATATTCACTGAAAAGTAGGTCATGGTGACCTAGTTACGAAATCCAAAAGCTATATTATGTAAATATTTCTCTTAAAAAGAAGCTAATTTTCTTTTAATTTGATGGCATGCATTTGAAGTCTTTGGAGTATTTTAACCAAAGAGAGGTCTGGGTGGCCTTTGTTTGAAATTTTATGCTTGTATTTAGATATTTCAGATATCATCTACATGTATATCTGAAGTAAGAAGAAGGTATGGTTTTAGCTTTATTGCGCCCTAAAAATGTAATGTCATCAAAAAGTTTTAAAACTGGCTTAAATGTTAGTTAGATAAATGACACTGATAAATCAGGAAAGAATATGGCATGAAAATGTACCATCCTGCAAATATGACGTCATTAATGTGAGGCATTTCTCTATTTTCAACAGAAAAAGCCTCAAAATGGCACATTTCAAGGGTGATTTTCCTTTAGAACAGTGTCCACAGCCGTTGCCCACGTTAATTTTTTGATATTTTGTGCAAAATTCAATAACAAATCACATATCTCAAGATCGTTGTGGAAGATGCCTGTGCACAATGTTATCTGGAAGAAAATTCCATTGAAAATTGGTGTCCTTTGCAACTTTTTAAGAAAGTACGGGAAAATGGCACATGTTTATGACGTCATAATTAGCATTTAAAACACATGTGAAAAAAATGACTTGTATGATTTTTCTGCATTGAATGTCAATTATTTAAAAAGCATGAATATTCAACTTTTACATCAGTTTCATTTTTTTTTTAGAAAATCACAGGGCAAAATTTGTTTGGAAACCATACTTTCTTCTTTGTATTAATTTCCTAACCCAAAATGTTGGAACTTAAGTGAAAGGTTTCGTATATAATATAGGTTGTAAATTGTTCAAATCTTAGTCCCGGGTTTAGGTTTAGATCACAATATAGGGCTTATTTTAAGGGGGATGTATCTGACTCAAAAATTCCACAGAAAGGGATAATAAAAAATGAAATCTGATGAAAAATCACAACAGAACTAATAATTTGCAAAATCTCAGGCTCTGCCATAATTTTTATTTATGGACCCCAGGTTGGATTAATCTAAAATCAAGATCAAATTTTATATACATTCTAATAAAATGCATACCATATGCTTTCCATGCTTTCAGTCAAATCACTAAAATGTTTCATCATTTGATTTATAGCTCACGTGAGCCAAAGGCTAAAGTGAGCTTAATGATCGAAATTTGTCCATTGTCTGTTGTTGTTGTGGTTGTAAACTTTTCTCATTTTCATCTTTTCAAGAACCACTGGGCCAATTTCAACCAAAGTTGCACAATGTATCCCTGGGTAAAGGGGATTCAAGTTTGTACAATGGAAGGACCATGTCCTTCTTCCAAGAAGAGATAATCATGAATAAGTGAAAAAACCAATGGCATCATTTAAGAACCTTCTTCTCAAAAACAACTGTGCTAGAAATTATGAAACTTATGTTGAATCATCCTCAGGCAATGTGGATTCAAGTTTGTTCAAATCATGACCCCATGGGGTTGGGTGGGCCCACACTGGGAGATCAAATTTTTACATAGGAATACGTAAGGAAAATCTTCAAATTTAAAATCTCAAGAACAGCAAAGCCATGATTAGTAATATTTATTTGGAAGCATCCTCAGGTAATGTACATTCAATTTTGTACAAGTCTTGACCCCCGGGGTGGGGGTGGGGATGGGGGAGAGGGCACAGTGGGCAAGCAATGTTTAATACAGGAACACATAGGAAAAATCTTTAAAAATTTTCTTAGGAAAAGCAAAGCTTTGATTGGTCATTATGATATGGAAGCATCCTCAGGTAGTGTAAATTCAAGTTTCTTTATATCATGACCCCTGGGTTTAGGATAGTGCCACAATGGGCAAGCAAAGTTTTACATTCGAATACATAGAAGAATCTATAAAAATCTTCTCAAGAACAGCAAAGACATTTATTTTTTTATTTAAACTTTTCAATACTAATTGATTTCTGCTTTTTCCTAGCCAAAGTGCTCAGGCGAGCAATGTAATCCATGGGCCTCTTATTTGACTTTATGTTAAAATATAAATATTTAGTAAAGATGTGTTGTTTTGACAAAAATAAATCAAGTTTTTAAAGCATTAGAAAATACATGTTTGTCAGGATAACTTAAGTGATACATAAAATTCATATACATTGTATAAAGAAATTATAAATTAAAAAATTCTTTTTGAATGGTTTGACTATTACATAAATATTATTAATTCATTGCCTACCTTTTATATTTTTGTCATATTAATTGCATTGTACAGATAATGTTGTATATTATCAGGTCCATCATTTTTTAAATCTTGATACATGTACAGTGGACCCTCATTTATCCGGACGCTTTGGTTCCCAGTCAATTTGTCCGGATATGTGAAGCATCCGGATATCTGAATCACCAGTTTAACAAGATAGAATAACATTTAAAAATTTCGTTCCGGTAAAAAATCGTCCGGATACTGAAGCATCCGGATATCTGGCGTCCGGATATCTGAAGGTCCACTGTATATGTAAATGTTTATGACATGAACAATTTCAGTTGTTAACACAATGTGAATACATGTAATAACAAGGCAGCTTCCAAAGTCAGTTATTAAATATATATGTAAAATTGGTGTAATACATGACATCTTAAAAGTAAAATGTGTGGGATTTTTATTACCATTCGTCATCTCTTATAAATCCAAATTTTAACCATAACATTATATATGCATACTTTCTGTTTTCTCCAACTATGAACCTGCACTCAAAAGTTGAATTCATAATACAGAAATAAATTTAGTTTTTGAAAATTCATGAGGACATGAAGTATGACGCTTAATGCCTCCATATTTTATGAAGCATTTATAATGCGCTTCATGTTAGATATGCTGGTGAGATTGTAGTTCATGTATATCATGAACTTTTAAAAACTAAATTCATATCTGATATAAACTTGATTTTCTCATTTTTAAAGCAAAACCCTTTGCACTACAGTTTTGACATGAAGCATATGTTATTATGATGTAACACTGGAGATTTTTATGCTAGTTCATCAGAAAATGAATTGTTTTGTAATTCATTAAGAATCATAGGTAAAAATTATTAGAAATGTAAATATATCACTTTGTTCACAACATCTGCTGCAAGAAGCACAGTTCTTTTCTCCACATGCGCACAGAACAAGCTACTCCATTCATAGAATGCATTCAGAAATATATATATATATATATATACAGTACCGACCAGACCCAACCTGACACCAAAGCAGTCCCAGA